AAAAAAAAAAAAAAAGAAAAGAACAAATGACAATAATGATGATTATAATGAATAATATATGTTGGTTCATGTACATGTGAGACAAATGTGTGTCCAAATTGCAGATTCTCCATCCGTCGGCATTGAGCAAGTTCGACGAGATTATGAGAGTCTCAATGGGGAAAAAAGTAGTCGTCTTCTTGGATTACGACGGCACTTTATCGCCAATTGTTGACGACCCGGACAGTGCTTTCATGACAGATGAGGTTCATTTCCGATCGATAGCCATATTATATTAGAAAATAATAATATACATATATATATATACACATTTACAAACATATATAATCATGAAAAGCAGATGAGAGAAGTTGTGAGGGAAGTGGCGAGATTTTGTCCGACCGCCATAGTTAGTGGGAGGAGCTCGGCTAAGGTGCATGCCTACTTTCGTGTATAATAATTTGTTCTTTGCTATTTTTATTATTATTTTGGTGTTTTTGGGGAGATGAATGAAGTCGAAAATGAGGTTTGTTTGTTTTACAAAGGTGTACAACTTTGTGAGATTGTCGGAGCTTTATTACGCGGGAAGCCATGGGATGGACATCAAGGGACCATCAAAAGGACACACAAAAGTGAGTGATGGACACTACACATAATAATTTGTTTTATTTTAATTTCAAATTTCAATTTCTTATTAGAGCAAAATTATAATTATAATAATTGTTATTATGTAATTTTTATTTTGTATAAACCATTCTCAGGGAAATCAGATTATCCTCTGCCAGCCTGCCACAGAATTTCTGCCCATCATTCATGAGGTCTCTCTCTCTCTCTCTCTCTCTCTCTCTCTCTCTCTACCTTTGAAAATGACTTCAATCTTTTTTGTTTTTACTCATTCATTGGGAGAGATATTTGCCAAACAACCCTCGGGGTACCATAAAATTACCAAAACAGCCCGTTACATTTTCGAAACTACAGATCAATCCCTTTCCCCCGAGCTTTTGGAACAAATCAATGTGTATAGGTTACATCTGGTGTTGTCTTGTAACCTATTTCTGTTTATACCGTCGAGTGGTCTGATTTATGGCATATATATTAGATTAAGACATGTAAATCTAAATGCAATTAAACAGTTTTTAAAATTAATTCGTAATTCTAAATTTGAATCACATAAAAAATGTGAAATCTGTGTTGAATCCAAAATGACCAAGTTACCTTTTCATTCGGTTCCTTTTTATTTTGTAAATCTATTGCAGGTAGAGAAATCTTTGTTAGAAGAAATCAAACACATTCCAGGAGCAAAAGTTGAGAACAACAAGTTTTGTCTGTCTGTTCACTACCGTTGCGTGGAGGAAAAGGTAGAAAAGAATAAAAAAAGTTGGGGTTTTTTTCGCAATTAAACAAAACTTTTGGGGCGATTTCTCAAGAAATCACAAAATTAAAAAAAAATGCTAATTAAATTTCTATTGATTTTTATTATTTATTTGAAATATGCAGAGATGGGTCGAATTAGTTGATATAGTGAAATCAGTAATTAAAGAGTACAAAGAGCTTAGGCTTAGTCAAGGAAGGAAAGTAATGGAGATTCGTCCTTTAATTAAATGGGACAAAGGAAATGCACTCGAATTTTTGCTACAATCCTTAGGTAAATTTGTCTTATCAATTTTACTTTTGTGACTTGACATTAACCTACGGGAAATGCCATGGTCCAGTTACGGTACCATTCTGTCAGGTGTTTTAATTGTGGGATAATCTATCTTATACTAACTATATGTGTATTCAACAGTTAAAACATTCTACGGAATGGTACCGTAACGAGACTGTAGCAGTTCCCTTTTATTCATAACAAATTTCATATTAATTAATTAAACAAATTATGCAGGTTTTGCAGAGTCCAATGATGTTTTTCCAGTCTACATAGGCGATGATCGAACTGATGAAGATGCATTCATGGTAATGTCACTGTCGAACCGATGATACACTAAAATGCATAGTTCGGTTCGATTCGATTTTCGTTTTAGCTGATAATCTAGCTGAAATGAAAATTCAACTAATTTATTTCAAAAGCTACCTAAAGTAGCTTATGAGATAACCTCGAGTTTAAAAAAAGTTCATCCTACTAACGAGGCTTATTTGAATACAGAAAGCTTATAAGCTAACAAAAAAAAAAGATTATAAACTAGCTTATTTGACTACCAAACACATAGCCTAAATTTCGATCTGACGTCTCTCAAAAATAGCATCACACATTTTTCACCGAAAGTTTCTACTTAGAAGAAAAAAAAATTTGTGAAAAGAGAGGGTTTGAGTTGCAAATATCGAAAGGTTGAGCTAAAATTGTTTAATGGAATCTCTTTTGAACTTTAAGAAGGAAAAAGTTAACAAGGTCCAATTATGGTATATGTGTGTGTGTGTCTCAGGTTTTGAGAGATAGAGGACAAGGCTTAGGGATTCTCGTGTCCAAAGGCCCTAAAGAAACAAAAGCCTCCTACACTTTGCAAGAACCAACTGAGGCAAGTCATGCAGTACAAACAGCTATAATATTCCCCACACAATTTTTGTTTTATTTTATTTTGTCTCAAATTAATGTTTGATTGGGCACATCATTAATTATGGGGAAATGCTACTGTCCCGTCACAGAATTATTTCGTCAGGTTTGTAACCGTTGGATCTTCATGTAATCGTCGGAGATAGTTGATTTAACGGTTACAAATTTCGACGGAATTGTTCTGTAACGGGACTGTAGCACTGCTCAATTAATTATGCAAAACTAATGAAAGTTAAATGTTTTTGTTAACAGGTTATGCACTTTCTTAAGCGCTTGGTTGAGTGGCACAAAAGAGGCTAAAAACTAACAATTAATTATTTAGTATATGCTTCTGAGAATATGTATGAGAAGAAAGAGTGCAAATTAACCCACCCAAAAAATTTGGGATTAACTATTTCAGTATGTATGGATCTTGTTTGATCATGATAATAATAATATTTTCAGCTTAATTTTTTACATTTTACTAAATTTTAATTTTTGTGTCCAATAAAAATATTTTGGATGTAGTGGCCTTGTATACATGTTCGGTATTTGTACCTATGGGTGTGCATTTATTTTAGGCGTGCAAATTCATGATTTAGTTAGATCACAACCAATCACATCACAAACATGAAATATGTAAAGGCCTATAAAGAAGACGAGAGAACGGGAACAAAAAAGTATATCATTGTTAACTGTATTCAGTCCTCTATTTATAGAGCTTACAATATGCAATACCTAATGATCTCCCGGGCCCCCGGCTCAATTCATATTCTAGTATAGTCCACACCATGACACAAATATATATTTATAAAACTTTCCTTTGCATTTTACGACTAAGACTGTAAACGAGTCGACCCGAACCGAGCCGAGCTGAGGGTGCTCGAGCTCGAGCCCTTAATGAGTTGATCCGAACTCGTCTCGTCAAAATGAACGAGCTCGGCCTGTTTAACACTCATAACGAGCCGAACTCGAGCTTTAAAGAGCCGAACTATAAAAAAATTTGTAAAAATTCTTTTTTTTTCAAACCTTAACGAGCCTTATCGAACCGAACTCTTAACCTAACGAACTTTAAATGAGCTCAAGCTCGGCTCATTTCATAAACAAGTCGAGCCGAACTCGAGCCGAGTTAGGATCGTTTAATTTAACAGCGCTAATTACGAGATGCATATATCATTAAACCCTTGGTAATAAAAACCCGACCCAAAAAGAAAAAAAAAAGGAAAAACTAATCAAGGAAAAAAGTACATGATTTATGCAGAATATACGTGGTTTAATTGACTACAAGAAATTTGATATTTTATGACGAAAATATTCATCATTAAATGCTATTTTTCATCACTATACAATGACAAAATATTATCGTCGCATCGTTTATCACCGTAGCCGCGTCACAAAATGTATATGTGACATTATTACGATTTGTCACTTAAAAATAGTTTTAGTGACATTGATTTCGTCACTTTTATTATCGAAATTTCGTCATTAAAATTTTTAAATTGTCACCAGAAGGTGGAGTTCAAATGACAAATTGATATTTGGTTATCTAAATATTATTCTATGGTGACAAACTTTTCATTTTTATAATTGATTTGTCATTTAAATATATTTTTATATGATGAATTCAAATGTTCATCCTTTAAACCCTAAAGTATAGTGATGAATTTTAAATGTTCATCATTTAAACACTGTGGAGAGTAGATGACAATATGGCATACGAATTAAAAACGAGAAAAGTAAACAACACAAGATTTACGTGGTTCGGCAATGTGCCTACGTCCACGGCGGCTGAAGGATCTTTATTATTCTCAAATCGTCTCAAATACATCAATACACCATGTATTTATACTAAAACCCTACAAGATATAAATTTACTTAAATACCCTGTACCGTACCGCGGGGGCTCTGCCCCCGCACCCCCGGCCCAACTAATCGACCCAGCCCTGCCCTCTTTCTTTGTCAATATATGAGTCATACCAACAAACACTAACATATTTTGCGGACACGAGGGGATGAGGATTGCCTTGTTATGTTATTGTTTTATTTGCTTCTACATACGATTTTTTTTTTATTATTTTTAAATGAGATTGTCTCATTTATGGATGTTTGAGATTATGACTTATTGTGTGGTTTGTGACCTTCTTATGAATGAAAAATAAATTATGCATCGAATGTTTGAAACTAAGATGAATGTTTTGGGAAATGAATACCCTAAGAGCTTTAGGGTCAACTTAAGCTAAATTTAAAAAAAAAATAAAAAAAAAAAAAATAGTAAAACCAAAAGTGCTTAGAAGTCTTAATATGCATGCTATTTATACTCTTACACTAAAACTAAAAGTGGTAACACATATACACGGTTTTGCACTACAAGAAAATGATTAAAATTCCAATGAAAAAATTCAGTGAAAATATAATCCATTGTAATTCCAACGTCAACACTAATGAATATTCCATTGTTATTATTTTGATGAAATTTTTCAATGGATTCCAATGGAAATTACAACAAAAATTATTATGTAGTAATGAGTTATTCATTGAAATTTTCGTTGGACTTTGACTATTCAAAAGGTAGATTTTTCAACATGGTTGGAAATAAAAATTCCAAAAGCAAATTATATTCCAACGAAAATTTCTACGGTAAAATACCGTTGGAAAAATAGTCGTCGGAATCATCAAATTCAATCCAAAATTTCAATGAAAAACTCATTCCAACGAAATCTATACCATTGAAATATCGTCGAAATTATCATTGAAATATATTACCGTAGCATTTTCCGATTAATTTTATTTTTAGTGTTGCTTAATGAATGTGATACCACGAGAAAGACATATAAAACCTATACATTACTATAATAAAAACCCTCTTTATTTTGCCTAAATTTAATCAGTGCGCACGCACTAGCTCAGTCCCGCTCACCTGCCCACCGTGGGCAGTGCCCACTTTTTTGTCTTATATGAAAAACGTATTCTGAGAATACGTTTTTCAATTAAATTTAATTGAAAAACGTATTCTCAAAATACGTTTTTCATATAAGACAAAAAAGTGGGCACTGCCCACGGTGGGCAGGTGAGCAGTTTCACGCACTAGCTAGCATCTAAATATAGTCAATTAAATAAAACTTAGTCCGCGGAGTGTTCGAACTTCAAATGTCAGACATCAAAGTGTTCTGTCAATAATTGAGGTTGCAATAAGAACAATAGAGCACTTAGTGCCATAAAATGTGAACCGTTAATAGTAATTTATAATTAACTAATACTGAAATTGTTGGTTAGCTTTGTCCCCAGACCACGTTTCTTGTGATCAATTGGATAATTGATTAACCTTTAAAAATAATTCTTACATATTGTCAAAAAAAAAAAAAAAAAAACAATTTTCTCTAAACTTGTTTCACGAATAAAATGAAAATGGTTTAGAGAGTAACTATAGTCTATAAAAAATAAATGAACATGTTAAATATTTTTATAAATGAATATATATAATGTAAGAAACAGGGGTAAAACGAGTGCGGTACCACACAGATAAGCGCATTAAGACAGAGAAAGTCCAGATGAAGCCCAAGTAGGTTTTCATTTCAAAATCAATTGGTGAAAGGAGAATTAGCTCATTAGACTTATAAATTAGACCTATTTTCCCTATATAAAGTATGTTGAACAACTTACAAGTGAATATTCTAATACGCTCTTCACTCGTGAGTCCTTAATAAGAAAGCTTAAGTCTATATACGAAGTTGGGTGCCACAAGCCTTACTAAAAAGATGCTCTCATAAACGGGTACGTGGGGAATAACGGGTACGTCATCGCACGGTCTCAATAAAATCCGCTCTGATACCATGTGATAATGTGAGAAAAAAATATATAAAAACAAGGAAAATATTTATAACCTATTTATTTAAAGAAAAAAATAGGACGCAATCATGGACACCATTTGAAGGAGCAAAATCCAATAAATAATTAAATGAAGAAGATGGGTTTGAACAAATCATGTGCATTCTTTGTGGGGAAGTCGGATTCATAATCGCTCAGTGGTTCCAACTTGTTGAGTTCAGATATTTTATCATCATTTAATTAACTAAAGCTATAATAATAAAAAACAATTATATCATGGTTTTCAGATGACTACTTATTGTGTCTTTCAGATTGTATGTACTTGAATCTAATGATTCTATTGCTGGACTCAAAGCAAATAATCATGACGATGACACTAACTCGTGCAATTTTAAAACAGATCATGATCAAATGTGAGGTAAGGAAGCGTCCAGTTGAGAAAGATAAACGATATATTATCTCGTAAAACTCACAAAACTCAACAATATCTTATTTCATTCAAAATCAACTAATAAAAATAAACACCAGAGAATTCTTTATAAAAGTCCCTCAATCCTAAACTTAACTTAATTAACAAGAAAGCTACTAAACATTTAAATACTAAAATAATAATAATAATAATAATAATAATAATAATAATAATAATATAAAATAATAATAATAATAATAAGTATTCTGCATCATTCTCCTCCGGTTCGGAAAGTTTTGCCCTCGAAGTTGCACCAAACGTGCCGACACCAGAGTCGTACCCATGGCAATCATCGTCCGACGTTTCCCGCTATCGATCACGAAAGTAGAATGTTTCCAACATCCACTCTAGCCGACCCACACAACATAGGATCCCTACTTCCAACCCAAACACCCCGGGCATCATAAATCTAAAAAATTCAACACCAACTGAATGGTCAATAACTTGAAAGTAAATGACATGACGTATTTGCATCACCCCATCCCCATCTTCCATTGCTTGTGCTAGTTCAATTGCATTTTGCTTAACCTCAGGATGTAGCATACAAATATTTGCATCTACCAGCTTGCATCTACCAGCTTGGAGCAGGACCTACGCCTCTGGCATGCTCACTCTCTCCCCAAAAAGGTTGGTTATAGACTTTGTTGGTGTTGTTGTAAAGAGAATTACACTCCACAATAAAATCCTCTGGTCCCGGAGGCTCATCATAAAAAACCCACGGTCATCGTAAAATGGCTCGTCATAAAAAACCGGCAATTCGTCGTAAAATGGCTCGTCTACGCGGAACACTGATTCCTATTGCTGGTTACGGTCACCTCAAAATCGCTGGTCGCGCCCTTCGCCAGATCCGTCTTCAGCGCGCCGTCCATCGCGCTCCCCGGCCGGCGCGAAGCCCACATCAGATCGACGCTGCTCGCTACCGTGGATTTCACCGAACTCTCCAGCGGCGTGTCGTCCTTCGCACACCCAGGCCGCCGCGAAACCCCCATCTGGCCATCACTGCTCGTTGTGTCGACCATCGCCTAGG